AAATACCAACTGTAGATAAGGAACGCCTACCGGTTTCAATATCAGGCCTGTTTTTTTCACCAGTATGTATACAAGCACATGTTTCTTTGACGCCTGGATTCAAATCATGTACGTATACGGTGTAACATGTTCTTTGGTGGCCAGGCATCGAAAAGGCCTCGGTCCCGAGCTACGAAGGACTTAGTGCTACAAACCCTTTGTGGATCAAGGACAATGTTAAACATCGATCCGAGTGGTATACCATGAAATAGGAAATTGGGTTTAAAGTCGTGCTTGAGAATATTTCGCTCATATGACGACGTGCATGCGTGTGTATGTGTATGTGCGGCTGCTTGTACTAGCCCAGACTTAAGCTGGTTTTATAGTGCTAGCCCACTGAGATACCATGCCGCAGTGAAGCATGAGTACCCCACTCAGACACATTATACTGACTCCGAGCCGACCATTCCTTGTTGTACCCATTAATGCCGAGCGCCAGACAGGGACCAACAAGTACCATAGTTTAACGTCTTTTGGTATGACGCGGTCGGGGATCGAACCCGCGACCTTCCGCACTCCGGGCGGACGCTCTAACCACTACACCACGGAGGCGGTCCAATGAAATAGGAACATCATTTCACATTAAAGTAAAATTTAATAATTTATTGTGATTATTATACACCTAAGATTTCCTTCATAGCTTCTTTTCATTTTTCTCCCATAGACAAAGGTTGCTCAGTGGCCATAGACGCCAGGTTCCGATGTGAAGAACTACATATTACATTCGATTACGTTACTCGATGGTTCAAATGCCAGATTAGTTCTAATTATGTCGCTTGGTTTGTCAGAGCCCGTGGTCGTGGGTTGGCCAAGCAATATATTTCCGGAATATGAATCATCCCTGTCTCTCCTACTATATCGATCTAACATATATGAGATATTGTTAAAACTGAACTCTCTCACTCACCCACTCACACACTCACTCACTCATTAGCTTTCTTGTGTCCTATTTCATATTGACTGACTGAGTTTGGTTTTGCGCCACTTTTAGCAATATTCCAGCAACATCACGGCGGGGGACACGAGAAATGGGCTTCACACATTGTGCCCATGTGGGGATTCAAACCCGGGTCTTCGGCGTGACGAGCCAACGCTTTAACCACCAGGCTACCCCACCGCCCCCTATTTCATATTGGAGTACATGTGAACTCAAAACGGATTTACACTTATGACTGGTGGAACTTACTCTTACAGGAACATCCACTCGGTAACATGTACACAAAAGAGTTGTGTGATATTCTGTGCGCGTGTGCACGTGGTAGCAATGAAACCATTTGTTTAGACAAAGAATGCTAGTTAATAAACCCGAATGCTTTCGACCAATCTTTTTTTATTATCGTTATTTGACTTCTGATAAAACCAAATCAAATGTATGGAATCTTTGATTGATTGAAACATATATAACTGTAGCGACCATAAACTTTGAGAGTCCCGCGCTGGGATTCTCAAAGGGAACTTCTGATCCGCAGTCGGACGCCTTGTCCACATAACCAGAGGTTAAGCCCCGTCAGCAAGCTGACTAGGTACATAATGTTTTCCTAACGACAAATGCAAGGACTTTGCCCTGGTCAATGTAACTGAAGAATGTGACTGACTGACTAACTGAGTTTGGTTTTACGCCGCTTTTAGCAATATTCCAGCAACATCACGGCGGGGGACACCAGAAATGGGCTTCACACATTGTACCCATGTGGGGATTCGAACCCGGGTCTTCGGCGTGATGAGCCAACGCTTTAACCACTAGGCTACCCCACCGCCCCTGATTGACAGTTAGCCTTATCGTTAATAACGTATTCCTTGTTTAACATGGACTGTTCTGTGTTGTAATCTACTGTACTTTACGTATGTTATCGGTCTTTTGGTCCAGTGAATGGCACTGGCCATCAGTTGTGGAAGGAGGTATCTACACAAGCATCTGCATCTGCTTCAGCTGTTACTGCAACATGATAACGGAACTATCTTTCCAACTGCCGAAACAAAAAAATACACTCAGCGTATTTCCGGTTTCAGTTTAGTTATTTTACGTGCATCTGTTGTAATGTTATTTTTTAAATCAGAAAAAATAAAAGAACTAATTTTATCAAATTCTTCCTTCATAGTAGTCGTTTCCCAGCATTAGCCCATACAACTGAATAAACGTGTGTCTCCGTATCATGTTGTACCATTGTGGATTGGGTTCGAATCTGCACCACAAAGCCAGTACTGTCTGCTCTACCTCTCATAGTTAATCAAAGCTGAACATTTTCTAAATAAGCGTAGACGTTTACGGGATATGGTAAAAGGTAAATAGCCAACTTCTGACGGTGGATCCAGTGCTGCTGCAGGAGACATACATCGCCTTGCATCTGCTGTGCGTTAAATTGTCTGAAGCAATATCTTCATGGACGCCTGTTAAACAGTTCGTAAACATGTTTCCTTAACTCAGTTTTAAAAACCCTGCGATATGCGATGTGTGTTCACTCCCTGCATCTCCTGCTAAACTCCCGAGGATGACGATAACCTCTTTTCAACAACATGTTCACTTCTTGATGTACACCAAAAGAAACATCGTTTTGACATGCATATCAGCTGTCTTAATGTGTACACTGTTGCACGGTTCCAGGGCGGCCCACTGATTTGAGGCACTGGGATTCACTTGGCAAGGTTACATCTCCAGTCGTACAAGTGAGTGAGTGTGATTTTACGCCGCCTTTAGCAATATTCCAGCAATTTCATGGCGGGGGGACACCAGAAGTGGGTGTCACGGATTGTACCCATGTGGGGAATCGAACCCGGGTCGTCAGTGAGACGTATGAACACTTTAACCACTCGGCTCCGCCACCGCCCTATCTCAGATCCACCCTGGGTCTGCATTTGCCGTGTATGTACAAAACCTGACTTCTTCAATAAAACCAATGAGCAAGGGGATCTGAGATTTTGAAACCCCGATCAGTAGATCCTGACTTGAATAAGGGGCGCAACTTAAGTAAGACAAGCCAATAATAGCCGTTTACTTGTTTGACTTCTTCAATAAAACCAATGAGCAAGGGGATCTGGGATTTTGAAACCCCGATCACTAGATCCTGACTTGAATAAGGGGCGCAACTCTGTACGTAGAAACCTTATACCTCTTGGCCTTCAGATCTTATTTCTGGGTCCAGCACAAATACATCAATGGTAGGCTTGAAAACGTTAGTATTCGTTCATAAAATACGTAGTCGACAAAGCTGACCTACACCATATCAACATGTACCAGACACGCCACTGTAGTATTATTTATGTATCTACCACGGCACACCGCTGAGTGCTCCTCGTAGCTGTTTAACAGATTTAAACCAAATGCTGTTTGTTTCTTCTCATGGCTAGGGCCGACCATTAAAGACGTGATATCCCGGAGACCAGCTATTATTATTTGGACGCAGAACAGCTGCCGTTAAGTGTCTGACACTGTAAACGAGTTTTTGGATCCATCCAGTAACAGTGAGATTTCGTTTTCTTGTAAAAAAAGACAACCTCGACACCGTGCCTTCAGTATGCTACACGGAGTACAAAGTAGATTTACAACAGGATTTAACTGATAAGAAGTGCTGACACAAACGTAATAAAAATGTCTGATAAACCATAAAAAAGGTTTATCTCCAGTGAAGATTTAAAAAAAGGTCATGCAATTTGCTGATACGTTGATCTGGGTTACAATATTAAAGGTCTAAGTAAAACTTTCAAAATGTTGAAGATGTCCATATTTTGTTAATCGACGCATCCAAGACAAACATGACGTCTAACACATTTATCTCTTGTGACCATGTGTTACAGTGGTGATTTTGTATGTGAATGGACTTGACCTTGCATGTGTTTGAGACGTGTGCTACCGAGGGGACAGGCTACGTTTACGTTTTCGTTAACATATAGTACCAACACTATTTGATAGAAATTCATAATCCCATGTGTGTGGGAATCGTACAATGGACTCTATTTTCTATGATTACCTAAAGAGTTTTGTGACTCATTAGTAACATTCGGCCAGTGTTCGTGTATTTATTAATGTATGTACAACGTTACGAATCAAATATGAATATTCACTGCTGACACATTTGCTGATATTCCACTTTGGTGGAACTTACGAGCTAAGTAAGGGTAAAAAAAGGTCATAACTGCGACCAAACAAACAATAAGCGCACCAGCATTACCAACAAATCCCGTGACCACCAGTGGACCAACAGAACCATCAAAGAATCCCGTGACCACCAGTGGACTAACATAACTATCAAAAAATCCCGTGACCACCAGCGGACCAACATAACTACCAAAGAATCCCGTGACCACCAGCGGACCAACAAAACTACCAAAGAATTCCTTAGCGACAGTAGACCAGCACTACCAACGAACCCCGTGGCGCCTACACACCAAACACATCCGTGTCCCTATTCTACACATCTGAGACGAAATGCAATACATTGGCTGTTGAAACTATTCAGGTCCACTCTTTTATATAAGCTGTTGACACACAAAATACAAACAAAAATCAAAGGTATGACATTAGTGTTACAGGAAAACTGGTGTTAGACATGAAATGACAAAAGTGCGACGAGGTGCAAGTCGCGTTCGATACCAATCTCACTAACTAACTATAGAAACCGTATCTCTAATTATCTGTTTCGAAGTAAATGATAAAAATATTCAAATACCTTGTCTAGATAATGATTACATAATTGTTGCCCTCTTGCATGACGTTGACGTAAAGGCAGAGGATTCCATTTGTTTCAGAAGAGACTCGCTCACTCCGTAGATAAAGGTTAAATTATTTATAAACGAGTTCTTCTTGGACTGAAAAGTACATGTATCATTGTTTCCGATCAAAGATAGAAATGATCAAATGTAATTTGAGACATGCATGTGACAACAGTTTCGTTTGAAACACTCACCTCCCCAACCACACCACCACCCCTCCAAAACAATATATAAATAATGAGAATACTACTTACCAAATCCGACAGCCAAACATCGTCGGAGGCTTTATTCCTCTTCCGGGTTGTGGCGCCCTCTACCGTCAGTAATACCAACAATAATACTGATGTCAGCACATGAAAGACGTCACGTAGTGACGCCATTATTACGTGAAAACAAAACAAAAGACTGATGAGATTGTTCACAAAATAAAAAGATGACCACCACTTCTTGAACACAGAGGATGACGCTGATGGTCCGTAAGTGTGTAACACCCCATTGAATTACTCTGAATGTATCCAGGGGCCAGACAGCACGCTTGTTCGACGATCTCTTGGTAAAATTCCACAGCTGAGATATATGAAGGTTTCTGAATCAAGACGCTTTATAAATCTTCTTCAAATGGTTGTCCTCGCATCGAGATCATTAACCGCAATGTATGCGCTACAACTTCCACAACGCTCACTGAAGTAATCCAGAAATGCGTCCACAGTTCAAGGGTCGTATTGATAGACGTAAAAAGTCCCCGTTACAAGTTTCAACGCTGGAACGCTAGCCGCGCCAGAAGACGTTTTTTACGTTGAAGATTTGCTGCTTCAGTTGACATTTATATTCTCCGAAGGGAACATTATTACAGGGATTCTGCTATCTGGTATCATCGCACACAGAGATGTTGGGGGATTGGTTCCAGGGCTTTCTGGCTGGACCGACGGCGTTCACAGCGGTGTAGGCCATCAGCGCCAAAACCTGCATTTCATAAAACACTGATTGCAACCCCGGCTGTCGTATAACGGAGAATAATGTGGAAGTGAGACAAGGGGATTAGAAATGTACATGGGTGTGTGGAGGGGGAAGGGGGAGGTGGTGATTGTACTGCCGGCGGGCGTAAAGAGTTATACGAGAGAGAGAGAGAGAGAGAGAGAGAGAGAGAGAGAGAGAGAGAGAGAGAGAGAGAGAGAGAGAGAGAGAGAGAGAGAGAGAGAGAGAGAGAGAGAGAGATTGGGGAGAGAGAGAGGGAGAGCGAGAGAGAGAGCGATAGAAAGCGAGATTGGGGAGAGAGAGGGCGAGACTGAGGAGAGAGAGAGTGAGAGCGATAGAGAGCGAGATTGGGGAGAGAGAGGGCCAGACTGAGGAGAGAGAGAGATTGAGGAGAGGGAGAGCGAGATTGAGGAGAGAGAGCGACACTGGGGGGAGAGAGAGAGAGAGAGAGAGAGAGAGAGAGAGAGAGAGAGAGAGAGAGAGAGAGAGAGAGAGAGAGAGAGAGAGAGCGACACTGAGGAGAGAGAGAGAGAGAGGGTGGGGGGTCAGATACGCTGGTCACTAACTCACAAAAACAAAGAAAAATAATATACACTTACTTTGATATATTATTAAACACCATATGGCATATTTTCTTCTTCCGACAAGAGCACTATTACTTAGCCACATCTTTGATGCCTCCTCCCCACGAGGGACTCATCCCCCCCGAGAGGTAAGTGAGTCTGTGTTTATTTAATTAGGCGTCTTTGAAAGAATTAAACACAACTGTGAATTGGGTGATTTAGAAATAAAATACCTTCACAACTCAATCAAAAGTACCAGAAAAGCTTGTTTCCACAAGCAAGTTGCATATGTGTTGTGAGACCGGGTGTAAATCTGTGTATTTAGCGTTCAATGGTTTAGGGGGAAAGAGTGCCAATCTCGTCCATCGACATGCAGATGAACACACAGATTCGCCATCTATCGCTCTGTTATCAAGTATGTTATCTGTCTGTTATCTGCCCCCCTCATTCACCCAACGCTCAGACTAAGCACAGACGGTCTCGTCTTCCTACCTGGTTTTCCACCTGTTGCGTGTATCAGGCAACGCATTAAACCCTGTCAGAACAATTATGCACCTAACGCTAGTTTCGTTTTTTTTGCCCTTAACCTCGTAACCGGTGAGTAGGTTAGGTTTGTATAGATCCTAGACGGGACATGTAGCACTGAGGAACGCGACTTGAATTCCAATCGAAAAGTAACACTGATACCAGGCTGTTCTTTGCTGCCCTGTGTTCATGAGTATTATATATGCAGTGCGTAAGACATCGTTCGTTTGCCGACATCGGGTCTGTCGTTGAAGATGTAATGTTCGCCATGTTCACCTACCAACCCCTTCCCCCATTCCCCTCCCTAAACACCTAAAACCAAATACATGAATATGAGAAATATTTAGCGAATCGACATTCGCACTATATGATGAATAGGCTAATTAAAAACTCATTTCTTAAACATAAGCACAATCGTGATTGATTTTCTTGAATAATACTGTTTTAACAATTGGGTATCCCCCAAAAAAAAAAAAAACAAAAAAAACAAAAAAAAAAAGCAAACAAAAAACAAAATAAGTAAACAAAACAAAACAAAGATAAAATAGTTTTCTGTACTCTCACTGGCCATACGGTCGTGTGATCACCAATTCAATATTCGCTGAAATTCGGATACCCTAGATTAAATATGTGTTGTTTACAATTTTTTGTAGCTAGTATTAACACATACTTTGGAAATTCAGGCACTGCATTTTGAAACGAATCCGTACTAAGACAAATGTGTAAGCTGTTAAATTTTACACAACATCCTTCCAACCGTTATTCCCGGCGAGATGTTGACCTCGCCAAATAAGTAGGGACGTTTTCCTTCTGGAAAGCATTACCACTTGTTCCCTACCATGTCTTTGTCTGAATAATAACATCATATAAATCACAGAAATAAAAACATCATAATTAATCAATATTACCTTGCAAATTGTAAACTATCGACAGTGAGGTTCTTATTGTATTGATTGTGTACAAAAAATCATACTTTGCCGTTTAACTGAAATTTTAATGAAATAAATAACGGCTACATTGACACGGGTCCCCAATACGGGTTGAAGACTAACGGTACTGCCGATGACAGTAATGTGGCTGTACACAGACCGTCGACTGAGACTGTAAATGTACTCACCTGGGGGTGTTTGCCCGGGCAGTGTGTCCCGGTGTGTCGTGGGGACTTGTGTGTGTCAACACATGGTCTCAACCCCACACAATGGAACCAGATATACATCCGCCACACGTGGCTCCCGGTCGCTTACTCCACCGACTGGGCGACACGCCTCCTTATTGAATAACGCTACTGTTGAGATTCCGAGACGGGGTGAAACAGGTTGAGCCAGTCAGAGGAATCGGGTTGCGGGAATGTACCGCTAAACGGTTGGGAACCTCTCTAATTGCTAGAGGCTACTCGCATGCTGAGAATGTGGGCTGGCGTGTCGTAGTGTCCGTTGCTGCGTTGGTGCAGTTGACGTTCATGTCGCTGTATGGTTGCCCATTTTGCGGCAGATTGGTTTATTTTTACTTACAAGTCATCATTCACATTGCTTATTAATAGTTTTCTTTGGCACATATTTTTACTCCGTGGGGTATTTTCATACGATTGAAAAGCTGTTCCAGGTGGTTTCGAGTGTATGTTCATTTGCGTCCTGCCCAAAGCGTGTAACGCGTTGCACAAACTCACATCAACGATATACATGTCCAATTAACAACAAGCGAGACGTGACACTCTCTTTATGCAGTATTCACAGCAGAGGATATCACGTGTGTGTGATGGCTGCACTCGACCAGTTGATCATGTTATGTAAAAAAATGCAGGCACAGGATGAAAGAGAAAATTAATTAATCAAGGTGTTGGCAAACTTTTGTTCATTTTTCATGCGTACTTGTACTCATGCAACTAAAAACTAGCAATTGCGGTATACTTTGCTCCTTTTACGCAATTCGCAGTCTCTCTGGTACGTATTTAAGTTAATCCAAGTCAAGTCTTACTACGCTTCACAGGTGTTTAATATTTCCGTCTTGCAGTTTGTACGTAATGAAACGTTATCCAAGCAGGCCATTGGCGAGTAACAAAGGAACCGCTGACGGAACTCCTGGTTGTCTTCATTCAGTTGTCTCTACGTTAGACACGTGGTATTGGGGACATATTCTGATTGTTCGTACCTTTGTTCGAAATAATGATTTTCTTCTCTGCAGTTTGTTCTGTGTGTTCGAGAGTCAATCTCATCAAGTTTATAGAACAGACAGTTACACCATATATTAAGTTATAACTGAAACAACTTTGTCATACACATTTAAGTATGATGTCATTTACACCTTTTTATTATATGGGCGAGAAGGCAGATTAGTAAAACATGTGTTCCAAATCACACCGAAAGCCCCGTTCTATCCCCACTTTGGATATAAAGCATTACGCCCTTTTCCGACGTCATGATGTAGCTTCATATTACTCAAAGCGGCATAAAACCATATTCACACATTCACTAACTCATCGGTGGGGTAGCATAGTGGTTAAAGCGCTGACTCGTCACGCCGAAGGCCCGGGTTCGATTCCCCACATGGGTACAATGTGTGAAGCCCATTTCTGGTGTCCCCCGCCGTGTTATTGCTGAAATATTGTTAAAAGCGACGTAAAACCCAACTCACTCACTCACCCATCGGTGTGTGTGATAATACAAATGACAGAGGTCATGGACGGAAGTACAATTAACAGATCGATCCGTGATACCAACCACCGACCTGCGGATCCAGCAAACGACCAAGGGGAACAACTCATTGAGCTGAAGACCCAGTATGTGCTGACAGGGTCTAACAACAAATTAGCAGATCCAAGAAAAGTTAAGAGACAACAATTAATTGGCCGATGACCCAATGTGTGCTGACAGGGTCGAATAAGTGATTCGAACAAATAATCAGCAGATCCAACCACAATTAAGGGACACAACTCTGCAAGGCAAATTGTCTGACTACATTAGCGGACAGCCCAGAGAAGGTAACGTTAGAACTTGACATGGTGCTGATACGGTACTTGAGCCATACATACACGAGATCAGCATCAGAACCGTTAGGTCGTTAGTTTCCCCGTGGCCTTCACTACTAGACATTATACCAGGGCTAATGGGGCAAGGATCAACGCCAACAGCAGGTTGCTTACCCTAACGTGCATGCCTATCTGGTGTTCACATCAACTAACCAGGGCGCACTCGTTATTTAGCTATTCTGGGGAGTTTATCGACTGACATCAGCTGATTAAAAAACTGAAAGAGATGTAATAGTTAAAACACGCTCACCTATTAGCAGTGCAGATGTACGACATTGGGTCCATCAATCTGTTTAGCAATGCGCTTAAAGGGTTAGGTACGATTTGCATTGGGAATCAAACGGTGTTTTATTGTGTTGTGGCCTACCAGTAGTATGCTTTTTCAAATATGGGCGTCGGGGTGGCCTAGTGGTTCAAGGGTTCGCTTGTCACGATGAAGACCCAGGTTCGATTCCCCCTCAAGGGCACAATGTGGGAGGCTCATTTTTTTGTGTTCCCTTTCGTGATATTGCTTCAGTAATGGTAAAAGCTGCGTAAAACCATACTCACTCATTCATTCACTGTCAAACAGAAATGTTCCATCAGTCGTTAGTCATTACTAGGGTTGGGTACTGCCAAAATTTTCGTTTTGCGATATATTGTGAAAGTGTAACACATGTGTTAAGGTAAAGCAATTACTGTTTCCTTACTTTTGAAACAATGCCACAAGACATTGTCATGACTCAGATGTGATTTACAAGTGATCAATCGAAAATGTTTCCATATTGAAGACTTCGCTCTAAAGTTTATAATTCGAGAAAAAGCGTCTGCAGCGGCGTCCGCCATTTTGGTTTCTTTATCCCTACAACGAGTGCCGGTACCAATCTATCATTTTTATTCATATGGTTTAAAAGTCACGCAAAAGCAATTATATGACCTATACGCATTCTCAAAAGTATTACTGTATGATAATATAAAGGAAATACAAATGTTATTAGTAGTTTTGACACGGAAATTGCCGATCGTATCGTGTGAACCGGTTCGCGAAAAGTGTACTGCAATATATCGTATTGTGAAGTTCGAATTGCAACATACCGGTTAACCCCTAGTCATTACAATATTTCTGCAACCCTATTCTTTGTATTTGATGTAAACACCAAACCATATATAGTCATTGATACTGAGAGACGATCTTTGCTGTGTCTTCGTTATCCTTATGTGTACATGGCATTTCGCATTACTCAGGGACTGTTCTTATATTAGCATAGGCTTGGTCCTGGCTTTCTTTGCGCTGGGACACTTTTTGTGAATTATATAGATATTCCGTTTGCATATAGGCATATCCAGCGCATATACAACGGCATATTTGGATATATTTCCTACTCTACAAATAAAAAGAAATCTATTTAAAAATCCATTACTTTGGGCCTTAAATTACAAAGCATTTATTTTTGTTTTGGGGAAGCATGAATGTTTCATAGTGCGCTTGTGTGTGTGTACGCGCGTGTGTGGCACATGTTTTCACTTAAGTCTCCCTCTCCTGCTATAGAGTGTTCTGATCCTCAAACAGAATGAAACGTTCTGTTATATATTTCTCGGCCTGTAGGAGTACATTTGGAACAGACCCAAAGAATATTCATGCACAAGAATGAGAGTTTTTGGCTTTCTATCTGAAGAGGAATTTCAACGTGAATCCTATCCCTTACCTATTTTTTTCATTGTGCTACTGTTTATAGCCAAGAGCATCTCAAGTTTTATATTTCAGATGTTAAACGCATTATTTAGTTACGCCACACAAAAGTATATCCCTAAATGCAGCGCGCGTCCATTGTTTGTCTAATTCCGCGTAATCCACTCCCATAGCGATCTAATGACATACTTATTATTCATTTTCATCACTGAAACTAGCTAGTTAATCATATGAAATTTGGCGTGACAGAGAAAAACATATTTCAATTTTGTTACTCGTCCGTGAGCGAGTAACTGTGAAAAAACATCTCACGTGCTGAAGCATAAGTGCGTGAATGAGTGAGTGAGTGACTTTGCTTTCACATAAAGCTGATATAACTGAATACAGCGTTTAGTCATAGTACCGTTTGATCCAATCAGATACTGTTGTATATGCTGGTATGAAGCACCCGTGTTGTGCATCGATGACCGAAGTACGGGATACTTTGATTGGTGATTGTATTTGTTTTGTTTGTTTTTATGTTTTGTTTTTGTATGTTTTTTTTCAGATTATGTGGTTGGATTTTGTTTTTTATATGTTGGCACCACTTCCCTCTCTCTCTCTCTCTCTCTCTCTCTCTCTCTCTCTCTCTCTCTCTCTCTCTCTCTCTCTCTCTCTCTCTCTCTCTCTCTCTCTCTCATAATATTCGGTGTATTGTTACAATTGAGTCAAAGAACTGCTGTACGATGTTAATCCTGCTCTGGAAGTCGATACCACCAATCACAAATAGCTAAATGATGGCATTTGCCCCTGCAAATAAGACTTTTATCTGAACACTGATAGCACAGGGGTTTTACGGCGTTAATTGGCAGGCTTCATACAGCAGGTTGTCGCTTTCCAGGCTGCCAGGTCGAAGGGCGAGCGTTAAAACGTCTGTTTCTGAATGTCAGCTGAGACGGCGAAGGAAATAAATCGTGCTTCTTAATCAGTGTCAAAGAAGTTAGTTAGATATAATGGTTCTCTAAGTCGTACTTGAAATGTCTGAACTGACTGATCTAGCACGCGTACATTACAAAATCATAGGTTAACCTCTCCTGGCATATTTGTTGTTTTGCGCTGCAATATTCAACATAAACGGGGATGTGTGAATATTCAACTGTAGTGAAGACAATCTTTTGACTGACAGTATGTACAACTAAGCGGGAAGATATACACTCCTCCAAGGTAACTGACCACTTCATCCATTTCTGTCTGATAGAAGAACATTTGTAAAGTCTTTTCCAGGTACAGATCAGAGTTGCCTCCCTTTGACGAGCCCAGAATCGGGATTGTGGTTTGACTTCCATAATACCTCTCTGATTAGGGGTGAGTGAGTGAGTTTAGTTTTACGCCGCATTCAGCAATATTCCAGCTATATGGCGGCGGTCAGTAAATAATCGAGTCTTGACCAGACAATCCAGTTATCAACAGCATGAGCATCGATCTGCGCAATTGGGAACCGATGGCATGTGTCAACCAAGTCAGCGAGCCTGACCACCCGATCCCGTTAGTCGCCTTTTACGACAAGAATGGGTTGCTGAAGACCTATTCTACCCCGGATTTTCACGGGTCCTCTGATTAGGATACCGATGTGTCGTTGTTAAACATTGGTAGGTTTCAAGAAGTCAAGAAGGTGAT